GGATCCGCTCCGGCGCCAACGCTTCCGTGTTCACTTGCGCCGGATCCCGGTACGGCTTTAGCAAGCCCACGTAAAACACCAGGTGGTTGTGCGTCCGTTTTGGAAGGTTCAGCGAATACACTAGGCCCCGCTTGGCCACAGCCTTAAACGGTTGGATAAAACGTGGACGAAGCTTCGTCCTGAAGATAGCAGAGGCTGCATGTATAGCCAGGTTTTGTTTTCTCAATATTAACCAGGTCCCCGACCTTAACGCTTTCAACTTTGCCTCTTCCTTTTTCATCTGCATATTCTTTCTGCAGGTCTTGGCTTTCAGCCATCGCATCGCGAACGTGTCGTAGGACACTTAGTCTGGTAGACAAGAAGTCATCGACTTCTTTGTGGCTGGTGAGCGGGCTGACATCAGCTAGCCGTTCGGCTATTCCCCCCCAAGCCCTGAGCCGTGAGATAGCGGCTTCTGTGGGACGCGGGGGTGAATCAGCCCGTTCACGTAAAACGGCGTGTAGCCGGTAGACGAATGCACTGCATTGTTCAGTGCAAACTCTACGAGTGTCAACATGGCGCCCCAGCGCCTCGGCGTCTCAGCGCAGACGCTGCAAAGAACGTCTTTGAAGACGCGATTTACCCTTTCGGTTTGACAATCGGTCTGCGGATGATCCGCTGTCGACATATCCAACTTGGTACCGAGCACCTTGAAGATAGTCGACCAAAATTTTCCCGTGAAACGGGGGTCTTTATTAGAGACAATCGACTCTGGGAGTCCGTGTTGTCGGAAAACACGATCCACGAACTTCGTTGCTGTACCGACTCCGTCGATGGTGTCTGGTGCCGCCGCCAAATGAGCCGTCTTGCTCAACCATTCGACGAATTCCACGACACCCGTGTCGCCCGCCGAATTTTTCGGCAGGCCAAACACAAAGTCCAAACTAATGGACTGCCAACACCCAGTGGGTACCGGTAAGCTGGCCAGCGGCGCAGCCGCATTTGGAGAAGGTTTCACCCGTGAACACGTCTCACACGTGCGCACATAGGTGCCCGTCCATTAAAACAGCTTGGACCACAAATAGTGGTGACTCACAGAGGTATACGTTTCTCACGACCGAGATGACCACTGAGTGGCGTGTCGTGAGCCTCCTTGAGGATGCGGTATCTCAAATCCTCATCATGAGGACCCACAATTCGTGGTGAATCAGTTGAATCGGTGCTATAATATAGCAAGCCATTATTCTACGAATATCGGTGCAATCGTGCACGCAGTTTGGATGACAATTTCTTGTCCGATTTTCCAAACTGCTTGCTCCCTAGAGCCCGTAGCAACGCCACACACATCCCATCACCCGCATACGCGGTGCGGATCAAATCCGTCACAGACGACGTTTCAGTTGAACATGAGCAAGTAGTCATAGTCTGGTCTGCGTGAAAATGCATCAGCCAAAGCATTTTGCTTTCCCGGCTTATACTTCACAGCAAATTTATATTCCGCAAAGG